CAAAAATATGCATTTTTAACAAATCGCTGTAACTTTTTTGCTATGGAAAATTTTGTATTTTTATGAAAACATTTCCAAAGCACCTTTTTACGTAGAATTTAATTGTTTAAGTATAATTTTTTAAAATTAATAATTTAAGAATTATCAACAGAAAATTTGATTTTTTATATGGGACACCCTGTATATTTTTAAATTAATTGAAAATAATTTAAAATTACCTTTCCAGAAATTAACACACTTGATATTTTGCTCGATTCCTCTCCGAGATATGTTTAGAGTATATAAAAATTCGTCCGCTTTAAATAAGTAGGTTTTGAACGGCACCGGCTGTAATGCAAAAAAATTCTACCTGTGAGCATCAATTAAAACAAAAATAATATTTGCTATGAGAGAATGCGGAATTTTATAATAATTTAAAATATATTTAACCAACATCAACACATTTAAACTATATCTAAGAACAATAAAAAAAAATAGCAAACCAAGACACGAGATTTTGCTACAGGTGCTACATATCGATCGTCTTCTGTTATGGACAAACGGGGCAGTTTTTGAACATTTCTCGCGGAATTCATCTCAGTGGGGGTGAAAGATACCCGCTCATAACTGCTAAGTATTTCTAATTCTTGACTAGATTATACAGAAGAATAAGGAACCTTTATTATTCTTCCGCGAATATATCCATAGGAAGAGATCCATGGGCATTAAGCCAGGCGGCCTCGACGGCCAACGGCTGGGATCTTGGTTAGCTATTCAATTATTTTTGAAATTGGCTGCAAAAATTTGCTGATAACTTCAGCGTTCAGGAATGGTGCGTCGTCTTGCTGGAAAAATAGGTTTTCGAGTTCCATTAAGGGCATATAATCAATAAGGGGTCCAAAGCCTACTAGTTAAAAGTGGCGAACTTTTAAAAATTCTGTATTTCGAAGGGGATTATAACAAAATATCAAGTGTGCTCTATTTTTGGAAAGGTAATTTTAAATTCTTTTCAGTTAATTAAAAATATAGAGGGTGTCCCAAGTAAAAAATCAATTTTTCTGTTGATAACTCTTAAATTATTAATTTTAAAAAAATTATACTTAAACCATTAAATTCTACGTAAAAAGGTGCTTTGGAAATGTTTTCATAGAAATACAACATTTTCCATAGCAAAAAAGTTACAACGATTTGTTAAAAATGCGCATTTTTGAAAAACACCCCGTAACTCCGAAAAGGCAACAGATATTGATGTGTGGTTTTCACCATCATGTTTTTGATGAAAATTGAGCTCCAGAGACCGATATTAGTTTTCGTCTATCTCCTATAGAAAAGGATGTTTCCATTTAAAAGCGTCGAATTTGACCCACCCTGTACGTTCCTCATACAGTGCCAGTAAATATTAATTCATTTTAAAAACCTAACTTCATCCACATCAATTACTGTCCTTGTCTAATATTTTTTTAATTATAAATAAATTTAAGTTGGGGTAAAGAGATCTATTATTTCTGAGTGAATGTCCTGGCGCCCAATAATTATTGTTTTATTGATTAATTATAACACCTATTAAAAAAAATAAAAAAAGAAAAAACGAACCTACGACTGCTCCCAAAGACGAAAAGCTGCCGTTTGCATTGTGTCAAGAAAACGTTACAAAGTATTAATTCCTGCTTTACTGGTTTATATATATGCACTGGCTAAATTACTGCCGGCGGTATAGAAAATAAACAATTGACGAAAGAAAGACCGCCAATTCTCTGGCCACGACACTACAAACAGGAACAAGACAGTGAGATCCTTAGACCCAGCTAAAGGGCAAGTGGGGATTCCCCCTAACACCTCACTAGGAGCTTCTCCACCAACGTCTCACATCTAGAGAAAGCAAAATATACAGCAACTAAACTTTTTAACTTTAGTTTCAACCTTTTTTATGGTTCTATGTTTTTTAAGTTTTAATATGAATTTTGATTGCTTTGAATGTCTTGATTTTAAAATTGAATGTCACATTAAATTTCCAGCCAACTGCTGTATACAACGGCTTCAATCGTAATTCCCATAGATAGCAAGTTACCGGCAGCGGCTAGAAGTTAATTGATTTTGACGGTAATTGATATTTAAAATACAGCCGTTGGACGGCACTAATCTACTTAGTTAAGTACATGCCGCCGTGTGAACGACAAATTAATTGAATTTACCCACCGGCACTTACATATATAGAAATATAATGCCGGAGGTTGTTTAGCCAGTGTGTTATACAAAACCAAAAGGCGATCGGCCTGAAATGACGAGTTAATGTAACAATCAAGGCGGCTTTAATCTCCTCCGACAGGATCACCCCACCCACCGACTCACCGACGACGCGACGTCCTGCTGCAACCCCAACATCAAAAACAAGTGCGTTCTACCCCGTATTAATTCTGCATTAAGAGGGGCGGGGCGAATTAAGCGGCCAGTTTATTCGGCAACCTGATCGCCCATACACACTTGCTCAAAAATGCAGGGACGGAGTAGCTCAAATAAGAAGTTGATTTTGGGATACAGGCTTAGATTAAATTAAGATAGACCTATTGTGATCCTCTTGTGATCTCTATTTTTTTAACTAGTGATAAACAGACTGGTCTTGGTCTTGTATAAAATGCAAGACCGACCAAGGCAAGGTTTACGCAAGACCAATACCAAGCATATGTAAGAGTCTTGCGGTTTTGCAGTCATTTATTTTTTTCACGTTTTTTTTTAATTTACATCTCATTTTTATACAAAATAATTATAAAAAATAACGAATGTTTAATTTACTTACCCCTCACCCCATGTTAAATAAAATTAAAATTTATGTTTATGGTATACAGGGTGGTCCGAATTGTATTCCGGAAACTTCGGCAACATATTCTGCAGATAAAAATAAGTAAAAAAGTTCGTATAAATTATGTCTTAAAATGCTTAGTAGTAGGGTGTAGAAGTTTCATTTTTATTTCGATTTTTTCCAAATAATTTATGAAGTAACAACGTCAATATTTGGATAAAAATTGGTGTCTGGGAGTTTTTTGACATGAGCAATTTGATTTTTGATGTCAATATGATTCCTACTTGTAGAGGGCGCCACCTACATATGTTTAACTGATTTTTAAAAGTAATAACTTTTCGACCATATCTATATAAAACTACTGAGTAAAAAAAATATGCATTTACGGTGTTTTTGGCGTAAAAAGGTCTCTTGGTAAAAATCGCTACGAGTAATGGTTCTCGAGATATTAGGAATCGAAATTATCAATACCTATCATCATTGACATAAATTAAACCTATTGACTAAATAGTTATTAGACTGAAATCATAAATAGCGTGTTTATTTTTTGCCAATAATGACATGTATTGACTATTTCCACTCTAAATATCTTGAGAACGGTTGCTCCTAGCGATTTTTATCAAGAGACATTTTTTACGTAAAAAGTCACAGAAATGTATATTTTTTCACTCAGTAGTTTTATACAAGTACGGACCAAAAGTTATTACTCTTCAAAAGTTAAAACACATGTAGGTGGCGCCCGCTATAAATATGAGTCATATTGACATCAAAATCAAATTTCTGATGGTAGTTTTTTGACATGAGAAAAAACTCTCCATTTTCATCCAAATATTTAAGGTACTTCAGAAATGATTACTTACTTTTATCTGCAGAAAATGCTGCCGAAGTTTCCGGAATACAGTTCGGACCACCCTGTGTATACAGAATATACATATATTGCCATATTTATTTAAGGTGTTTTTTCAATCTTTCAAATAAATAAGGTTGATATAAAAAGTTATTATTTGTTCGGAGTTGTTTAAATTTACTACAAATAGTGTTTGCATAACATGTTACAGGAATCAATGCTGTTTCAATATAATGTATTCAAAAACAAAAGTTTACATCAGACAAAAATTGTTTCATTAAACTGCCATTTGCATTAAATTACTTAAAATATTATTTATTTGAAGATATTTTATGTAGAAAGTTCCATTGGTAAAAATCTGTTAAAAATATATAAAACTTGCAAGACTCTTTCCGCAAGACCAACACTGGACCCTGCAAGACCAAGACGAAGACTATATATTAGACTAACCATCTATGATTCCACATGCTTATTGCTGTTTTGAGTCAAATGTTCGGTATGAACACAGCCATGACACTCTAGATTCAAATTAAAAATACCATTTTTTAAACAAAAATTTATTCAGAATGTAACTTTCTATAAAATAAAATGAAAACATTTTGAAGGTACCATTTAACAATCAAAAGTTGTAGTCATTTCCGGTGAAAAAAGTCAAAAAGGAAGTGACCGAAAATAATTGAATACGTCAATCAATCCTGATTTGTGTCATGTACTAACATAGCAGTGCAGTGGCGAAATACCCATATAGGGATTTTTTTTGGGGGAGATGAGTCCGCCACATATGTAGGTAAAGACATTTTCTAACATACCAACTCTCGCTTTCTTTTGTTTGAAAAACTAAAAAAGTTATAGTGGTGAACCACTTGAAAAACACCCGGTATACATAAAAAATACCTACGCATCAAATATGTTATAGTTATAACTAATTTTTATATTTTTATTAGATAATATGTTTAAAATCGACATATAATTGCGACTTTAAAAGGTATTCACAAACAAAATTTCATAGTAAAATATATTTTTATATTTTTTATTATTAATATAAACAAAAAAGACAATAGTGTGTGTTTTATATACTTTATCTTTAACTCAATTAAAAATACTTCATAATACACCTCTCGATACATTAGGAACGGTCCATCAATCTAACCCGCGACCATTATACCGATCCTGCCGCAGGAACGCCACGATATACGGGGTGTCAACGACAACCGTGACCCCTTCTTCACCCTGCAGCAGGGGACGATGGTAAACACCCCCGACGATGGTAATGGTGGTGGCGAGAGAAGATCCACCCCCGGTCGCAGGCAGCAGAAAACCACCAAACAATTACAGACGATCACCCCGGAAACAACTTGTCAAATCAGCAGGGTGCGCACGTCAAAAAAGTCGCGTTTTCGTTTTGTGGCAGCATTCGAAAATCCAACGGCGGCAACTAGTCTTACGGGTGTTTGTTTTTTATAACCGATTATTGTTTCGAAAATCCGTTTTTTATGATTCTCAAAATGGACATGTCCCATTCCGCGTTTCCTACCGTTAATTCGTTATCACCGCCGAATTCTTTGCTGCTTCGACGGCCGAATAATGCAGATTTTAATTCGGTATTATCAGCGAGTTTGGGATCGACTACGGGTTTTTGGAATAGTCCAGCTCATGATCCGTTGGTTCCTGGTAGGGTTATTGCCAGTATGGATATACCTCAAGGTACTATGTCTCTTCCTATAGATCCTGTTTCATTAATGGGAAATGTTGATGTTCAACAGGTAAGTTTTGTGTGTGTATAGATTTTAATAATTATTCTTAGTCAAGAAGTAGTATTTTTAATTTTTATAAATGTAGTTTATATAGATTTAAAGGTTTCGGCTTCCTAAGCAATGAAAAATGCATAAAAAGTTTCATCACAAATGAGAATAAATCAGTCTGTTTTTGATAGTGTAGCGTACAGCATCTCTCGCGACTTCTGCATGCTCAACGTTGGCAAATAGTATACCTAATATGTGGCAATACTTTCCAAAAAATCAAAAATTACGCTTTTGAATGAAAAGATAATATCCGCAGCTTATAGTCCAAGATCGCAGAGTAATTTTTATTATTAATTATTACTTTATTATTAATTATTATTTTAATAATAAATTATTAATTATTACTTTAATAAAAAAGCTCATCTTATTTAAATAAAGATGCAAAAATAATCGAAAGCAGTTAGTATTTTTTAAATATTTAAATACTTTATTCGGAAACGCATGCGCATAGTTTTCTCTCGCGCTCATAGTCACGGCTGAATAATTTATGTGTTTAGAGGATGTTTGGTCATTACAATCTGTCTGACTGATTAAATATAACTTTATAATAGCTGTCTTAATAACATGTAAAAATCAGGCATGTAAAAATAAGTAAAGTTTATTTATTTTTTGTGGAGCTTTGATAAAGTCTATCTTTATCAAAAATCCACTTTTTGATTTGCTATTGTCTGATAAAAGTTCAGGTCCATGGAAAGATACGAAAGTCTGATACTTTTGGTACTACTTCAGAGTAATATTCTACAATATTTATATAAAAATCAGCCATATAAATTTAAGTTAAGTAACTCTTAATTCTAGTTACCTTTCTCACCCTGTATCTGCCAAGGTGTCATAGGGCGAACTCCCCAAACACGCCGGTATTCAAAGCACATGAGAGCACTACTGAGAGCTTATAAGGTTTCATCCTTGTGAAAATAAATTATTTCAGATTGCTCTGGGATCTTACTCTATTATAAGAATCATGTAATATGAGATCCTAGATATAGAGATCACAGAAAAAAAATATTATAAACCAATCATTGATATTACAAAAATCGATTATATCCTTTCATCAGCGTCGAGACTAGCCTTTTTTTCCGGAAAAATAACTTCTTTGTAGTTCAACTTAGGTTTCTGTATTCGATGTTAATATTTATTTAATATCACACCAAAAATATCACCTGTTATTTCAAAATACAGGGTTGTTCACCACATACGACACGGAGTATTGTAGCTAAACGATGAGATTTTTACAAATTGTAAGTTTTGGGTTCGTTGAAGGACTGTTAGGACTACAATTTAAAAATATTTTTACAAGATACAGAGTGTCCCAAATAAATAAAAAATATCAAAGTTGTATTTTTTTAAATGGAACACCCTGTATATTATTACATTTTTAGTTTCTACTATTAAAATAAAGGTAAATTTGATTAAGGTTTATTACACTTAAACCTTACCGTTTTTGAAATATTTTCAATTTTGTCAAATTGCAGTAAAAATTTTAAGGCTTCATTTCTCCAAGGGTATCAAAGTTTTTAATACTAAATATTTACTGAAGTTTATTTATTGATCAGTTATTGTGTTGTAATAATAAAAATAATACTACCTTATACAAAGTATCTAAAAATTTATTTTAAATAATTATTAGCTTTAAATGGCAATAACCTGTTTAATTAAAATGGAACACTCTGTAAATTTTATGAGAATCAGATGCACAATTTAATTGTCTATGAAATTGTATTATACCATTTTTTTACCTATTTCTTTAAGTTTCCGTAGAAAATGCATTTTCTTGTAATTTAGAACTTATTTATCAATATACCCATGGAATATGTACTTAAATTTTAGATTATTTTTAAAGATGTACTAAATTTTTAAAGAGTACAGATACTAATATTGTCGATATAATTCGTTTATTTCATTAATAAATTAAAAAAAAAACTGTTTAAATAATTGTTAAAGAGGACCAATTTATGATTCCAGTATTCAAACTACATTAACTGACTGTTTGCGTTGATTAATAATAATTGCCCCAAATACTAAAAAGCTGAGTTTTGTATGTGTATTAGACAGTGTGGTAAAAAGTAACACCTTAAAAATTATATTTAATTTTTAATAAATGCTTATTTATAACAATAGAGACGTTCATTTTCATAACTTATTATTATATTGATTTCTGATTCAAATCCACATTTATTTAGAATAATTTATTAACGAACACAATTAAGTATGTAATTAATTAGTGTTTGGGCGGAAATAATGGTGTTATATTTAATTAATTGTATACTCTTTTATAAAGATTTAAATAGTTTTCTTTTTACATATTACTAGCGTTTACATTTTGCAATCTAAAATGTCAATATTCCATGGGCATATTGATAAATGAGGTCAAAATTATAAGAAAATGCATTTTCTACGAAAACTTGAAGGGATCGGTAAAAAATGGCATAATACAATTTGATAGACAATTAAATTGTGCATCTGACTCTCCTAAAATATACAGGGCATTCCATTTAAATTAAAGAAGTTATTGGCGTTAAAAGCTAGAAATTATTTAAAATAATTTTTTAGACACTCTGTATGAGGTAGTGTTATTTTTATTATTGCAACACAATAACTGATTAATCTTGGAGAAATGAAGCCTTAAAATTTTTACTGAAATTTGACAAAATTGAAAATATTTCAAAAACGGTAAGGTTTAAGTGTAATAAACCTTAATCAAATTTATCTTTATTTTAATCGTAAAAACTAAAAATGTAATAATATACAGGGTGTTCCATTTAAAAAAATACAACTTTGATATTTTTTATTTATTTGGGACACTCTGTATCTTGTAAAAATATTTTTAAATTGTAGCTCTAATAGTCCTTCGATGAACCCAAAACTTATAATTTGTAAAAATCTAATCGTTTAGCTACAATACTCCGGGTCGTATGTGGTGAACAACCCGGTATACATGGCGTCAAAAAATAGTGTATCTAACTTCTGTAGGTAATTCTACAGATAAAAATAAAACAAAAAGTTCCTATTAACATATGCCCTAAAATGATTCCTGAAGAAGTTACAGCCCTCGAAAAGGTAAAGTGCTTATTTTTAAAAACATTGTTAAACAATTTTTCTTCAAATTTGGCACTCTTTACACACATTTTAATGCCAAGCCAAAGCGTATGGCGATGGTGTAAAATTCCGTAACAGTCCTGAAAGGACATTTTCCATTAGGGCAGACAGTACTACTGGTGGTTCTTTTTTTATCCTTATAGATACATTAATTTCAACAAATGACATGAAAAGCTAGGACTTCTAGACTTGAACTCGCAGATCATTATGACTTAAATCAAAAATATAGACTTAAGTCATAAAACCGACTTAAATTACATTATTTTGATTTAAGTCTTTACGAAAATGACTTGACTTTGAAGAAAATTATACGTTAAAGACAGTAAAAGACTTAAGACTGAAGATTTAAATCAGTTTGATCTTAAAAATGACTTAAAACTTATGATTTAAGTCTTTTTGGAACTGGCGAGTCTCAGCTCTTGTACTATTATAATTAATTTACACGTACATTTTTCTTATAGTTTTCTTAAGTGTCAAATGAGTGCTTATTTTGTAAAAATTATTTATAGATATCTGCTGGTATTACATTTTTTGGGACATTGGGTTTGGACAAGGCTTCAAAAGAAATATGGAATCAACCGTGTCATTGGGTACGAGCGATAAGGTTAGCCGAGGACTGTCATTCCTATAATGTACAGCTCAAACTTCAACCTTCTTACAGGTAAGATCATGGCAATATCGTAAACATTTAGTTTGCACGTTTAAAAAAATAGCACAAATTTAAATTCATGATTTCGCATCTAAAAAACTCATAGAACTTAATATTACATAAGTAAAAAAAATATCAAAATAGAATTAAATTCACGCACAATAAGTGGATAAGTCGACAATTAATACTTAGTAAAAGCCTTGTAAATGGTAAATTGTAAAAGGATAGTATTGTCATAGATTTAGGTACTTAATGTTCTTTTGAAGTTTTTAGTTACTATCTATGAACTTTTAACTCTAGGTATGTGCTATTTTAATATAGTTCCTATCAAATAAACTTTTTGTCACGTGATTAAGTTTGACCGGCACAGCGTTGCCCACTTTTACATATTATCTTTTAATCAAAATATTTTAGGAAAGAAAAACAAATTAATTATAAATATATAAACAGTTATTATTGACATCAACAAAACTCACCTTCTTAACAGCGCTTAGGGGACATAAAGGGCCATTACTACCGTTCTCCCTTTCTAAATATTCTAATAAAGTTGCAATGAGTTTTCACGGCTATTAAGCTATCTTGTACACTTCGCACTAAAAGAGGTTCTGAAAAGAACAATGTTCGACTGCAAGGTCTGCTAGTAAAATTTTTTAAGCTTAAAGTGTCACAACATAATTCATTTAAATCAAAAACTAGTAATATAAAACTAAAATGTCAAAACGAATTAAAATGTCAGGAAATAAATAGATGTGGCAATTTGAAATTTTTTACAGCAGTACCTGAATCCCCAGCGAGAAATTTAAATTCCAGTTAGTCAGCCCTGGGCCGAATATGTCCATGGTTGGCAACAATGGATTTAAAAATTGCTCCCTTGATCACGAAACTAAAAGTTTAATTGGTATCAAATATATGAGTAATATATAAATTAATAAAATAAACATATTTTCATTTATTCTTTATTGTCAATATTGCTGTTTCAGAATTTATCCCAACATTCGAAAGAAACCATTACCCAAACTGATTATACAAGTTGTGAGACCTATATCTTCTGGTCAAGAGCTGCAGCTATGGTTTTCTGAAGATATTTTAGGCATGCTCCAAGTAGTCTTTTTAACACCTTCAAATATACAAGGTAAATATCTTGTTATAATTATATAGAGTGACTGCGCACTGCATATCTCATTGCCACAAATTAACTATTTGACAGACTATATATCGGAATTACGGACGTTTTAGAAAAAAAATGCATTCAAATATTTTATACGAATTTCTTATTTACTTATATGTAATTAGCTGTCATAGGAAATAATGGAGATATAGAGAAAGCTTAAAACTATTTACCATAATTTCATATACCGGTTTATTTTTTCAGATAAAAAAAACGAGATACGTCAGTATATGACATAAATTATGATTGATTGACGTATTCAATTGTTTTCTGTCACTTCCTGTTTCACCGGAAATAACTACAACTTTTGATTTTTAAATAACACCTTCGGTATTTTTTTACTTTATTCGATAGAAAATGACATTCTAAATAGAATGACATATATCATATGTCAACTGTTGACATTCTCGCTTAATGAAAATTCGTATTTTAAAATTCAATCTAGAGTGCCATGGCTATGTTAAAAACACTAATTCTTACTCAAGGAAAATACATTTGATCGTCTAATGTTTTTAGTGTCCTGGCCAGTTAGAAAATGCGCACATCGTATTTTTAATCATATCTCAATTTTTTCAAATGGAACGAGGGTGGCTCATTAGCATATTTGGAAAAAGCATTTTTTTACGAATAATTTGATACCACACACTTGGCACTTGGCATTTCAACACAAATTTTCTTTACGAACCTCAAGTTTTAATTTCAAATAAACCACATGCGAAAATGCCACAAGTTGACATATGATATGTCATTCTATTCAGAGTGTCATTTTCTATCAAAGAAAGTAAAAAAATACCGAGGGTGCAATTTCCAAATCAAAAGTTGTACTCATTTCCGGTGAATCAGGGAGTGACCGAAAACAATTAATTGAATACGTCAATCAATACCTAACTTATGTCACATACTGGAAAAATATTACAACATTAATACAAATATTAAAATACCTACATTAACTGGAAAAATAAAAAAGTTATAGGTGAGCCACTTTTGAGATGCACCCCGTATTGCATTTCAAAAAACTGCCTTGGTATATAATATTAATTCAATAAATTTGAAGAAAAAAATTGCGCATTGTATTTATAATTTTATCTAAATATTTACAATAATAATTGATTGATTAATTAAATTTTACACTTTTTCCAGTTTTTTTTTACACGTATTTAAATAAAATAATTAAATTTGAAATTTATTAGCAATTCACTTTTACGGGATATTTTTTTAATATTACAACTTATAAACGGCTGGAAACCTGTTATATGCTACTGAACTTTTATACCACCTTCTAGACAACCTTGAACAAAGCAGTCGTGGCCGAGTGGTTAAGGCGTCTGACTCGAAATCAGATTCCCTCTGGGAGCGTAGGTTCGAATCCTACCGGCTGCGGATTTTTTCTTTTTTTTAGACAATCGGTAATTCGTAATTTTTATTTTTCATATTTTTCAGGCCAAGAAAAATACATCTGCCTCCGTTGTTCCTCCTTATACGAATCGCCCAATCCCTTAAAATTACACATTACGTTGGCATGCAGCAAATTTCCAATTTCCTCGTTATGGTGTCGATTGGCGGATTTAATGAAAGAATCTCAATCACCGCAGAGCGTCGATATAGAAGGTATTCCCTTTGATCTGAAATTGAGTCCAGACCAACAAGTTGCCAGACAGAAACAAGCGTTAGATTTAACAACAGCTGGAGAAAATGAACAAGGAGGACATAAACAATTGTATAGGCCTTATATTGAGTCAGCATTCAAACCCTTTAAGTAAGTCTATTTTTAATATATTTCTAAGTTAAGTCTCTCTGTCCCACATGATGTGGCAAACACCTTCCAACTTCGGCGTGTAGAGATAAAATTCATCCAAAGAGTCCAACATTGGACATAATACCGGGTGCGTCTCAAAAGTGGCTCACCCCTATAACATTTTGATTTTTTCAGATAAAAAAACGAGATTTGGTATGTTAGTATATATGTAATATATACTAACACACTGAACCACCGAGTATTTCACAGTATATGACATAAATTAGGATTGATTGACGTATTCAATTGTTTTTGGTCACTTCCTGTTTTACCGGATAATTACTACAACTTGATTTTTAAATGACACCCTCGGTATTTTTTTAGTTTATTCAATAGAAAATAAGACTCTGAATAGAATGACATATCATATGTCAACTTTTGACATTTTTGCATATGGTTTATTTGAAATTATAATTAGCGGTTCGTAACAGTATGATTTGACTCCAAATACCCAGTGTGTGGTATCAAATTATTTGTCAAAATATGCTAATGAGCCACCCTCGTTCCCTTTTAAAAAATTGAGATATGAGTAAAAATACTTTGAGCATTTTCTAACTAGTCAGGAAAAGACACGAAAAACATTAGACGATCAAATCTATTTCTCCAAGGCTCCTTGATTAAGAATTAGTGTTTTTAACATAGTCGTGGCACTCTAAATTGAATATTAAAATGCGATTTTTTATTAAGCGAAAATGTCAAAAACTGACATATGATATGTCATTCTATTCAGAATCTCATTTTCTATGGAATAAAGCAAATAAATACCGTGGGTGCCATTTACAAATCAAAAGTTGTAGTCATTTCAGGTCAATTCCGGTGAAACAGGAAGTGACCAAAAACAATTGAATACGTCAATCAATCCTAATTTATGTCGTATATTAATATATCAAATTTCGTTTTTTTATGAAAACATAACTAACTGAAAAAATAAAAAAGTTTTGGGGGGAGCCACTTTTGAGACGCACCCGGTATACCACGTTCGGACTTTTGGTAAATTTAAAATATTTATATTTTAAAGTATTATTATTTTAAATAACCAAATCAAAGAAGCTTCCAACGTTGCAAGCATTGTTCGGTATGCTACACGTGTACCCAAATGACATTTTTAGGAGGCTCAGTAGTGGCCTTGCTTCTAGTATTGCAGACATATCATACAAAAAAAAAATTTGTTTCATAAATTGGTAATCATATCTAAGCCATTGTATCTGAAATTAATTATCGAGTTAATTCTATAATAATAATAAATCGTAAATAACATTCGGCGTAATATTAAATCAAAAGAAAGAGTACATACCTTTCTCTTTCTCTGTTTGTATTTGAAGATAGCATTCACCAACTCCAACAGTAAGTTTTTTTTTGTTTCAATTGCAATAATTTTGCGCAACAAAAAATTATCATACCAGCGGCAATCCCAGAATTTAGGTATTATTTGATCCATTTGACCAAGTCAAGAGTACCTATATACGACACTGATTTAAATTTACACAAACAAGATGAGTCTTAAATAAGTGCAAATATTTTAGGGGTAGTATATTTCGACCCCAGAAACACAATTTTGAGTTTTTTTCACAAAAAATTTTTTTTGGGAAATTCCGGAAAATTCGGAATTTTTTGAAAATTTTTTTGGAATTTTTTTTAGTTTTCAGTTAAAAAACATAATTTCTGCATAATGTGGCAACATAGGTAGTAGATTAAATTTACAAGAAAGAAAACCCAGGAAAGATCCAGTTGTTATCAAAATTTTAGCAAAAAATCATTTTTTTGGAAATTTTAGAAGTAAAATAACTCGGTTATTTTGGACTTATTTGAAAAACGATACAGAGATAATATGTTTCTTTTATCGTGATCTACCAGCCTTGAAAATATTTGCACTTATTTAAGACTCACCCTGTATAGTGCCAAATTTAAGTCCAATGTTGGAACAAACATTTACCCCATCACTCATCGCATGAAGTTGACACACTTGCGGAATTCAATATTGTACAAATGTTGGACACATTATGATGTAGTACTACCTTTGCACTATTAAGTTACTAAGTACTTACACACGTCATACGTCTCCTCAACGAACACCTCAGTAGATGAAGCTGAGAAACAACAGCGAATGCAGATTCTGTCGGGAAAATAGGCGAAATACCTCATCACTGAGTGCGCCGAAACGACAACCGTTCGTGTCATAAACTTTGGTACTGCTGAATTATACTTACACACGTCATACGTCTCCTCGACGAACACCTCAGTAGATGAAGCTGAGAAACAACAGCGAATGCAAATTCTGTCGGGAAAATAGGGGAAATACCTCATCACTGAGTGCGCCGAAACGACAACCGTTCGTGTCATAAACTTTGGTACTGCTGATGTCGGAGATGGAGAGCTGACCTCTGGTGGAGCCGTCTCAGATACTGGTTGACAGTTTCGATGGTAAAGGCTTGGCGACTGCATACGGGACCAACGGCATACTGATTGACTCAGACGGCATAAGTACAACTACCTATACTTGTATTTGTGCCATATCATGCGTGATTAATGATGAGCAAATTCAAAACCCAAACCCAAAAGTCCCTTAATCGTGGTCATTTGCCTCTAATTTCACCCCGTTATGGATTGAATTATAAATAATTGCATCTTAATGCTCAATTTCATCCCCTAAGGAATCTTTATGCAAAGTTTAATACTTCTAGAAAGTATTTAGTTATAACATTTTAATACTGCTTTCATTATTTTACTCTTTTAGGGGATGAATTTCCGCGTATCACTTTATAGTTCCCCTTTGCGTTACTTAATGCCAAATTCCATACTCCTAGAACAGATTTTCAATTTTTTTTTATATGATCTTTGAACCCTAATTTTACCCCCATAGGGGATGAATTGTCAAGAATCGTTTCTTAGTGAATTTAGTCACTTAAAAAACCATTGTGCAAAATTTCGTACGATTTTAATAATTTTTTACACAAACTTTCATCCCAAATTTGAGAAATCCAAGGTTGAAATTTGAACTCTCCTCCTCTTAGGCACGATTCCCACTATGCCGTATCGTCACCGTCACGTCGGTGTCGCGCCGAGCCGCCCAGCGTCTCGTCATAAAACTTGAAGTAAATGGGAGATGGACGGTGCCACGACGCGACGGTGACGTTACGGGTAGTGTGAATATGTTCATTGTTGGTAATTTAAGAATATTTACTGTGGTGGCCGGCGGCAAACCGGCGGCTCGACGTGAACGTTATAGCGATAGGACGTTATAGTGAGATTCGCGTCTTAGGGGTTAATTGCCAAAAATTGCTTCTTTGTGCTCACGTTTACAGCTTATATTGTTTTGATTCTAGACGTGAAAGGTCATCTCTAACAAGAAGTCCAGTAATACCAGATGCACATGCAACTCCAGATCTTCCAACTGCCTGGCCCAATGTATTTGGAAGCGATATAGTTCAGCTTCATCGAAACTTGATGCATAGCCAGCTCGCAACACCAAATCAAATACCTTGCACCGATGATGCCCAGATCGAAAGTTTGGTAATTACAGTTTATATTTACAAACCTGAACGATAATTAAAATATTTAGGTCTTGAATTGAAATTTTATTCCATTATTTGTGATGATATAATATATATAATCAAGTTGTGTAAGAGTAAGACGCCGCCTTCTGATTAGGAACATTTAACAATAATTGGTTATTAATAACAAATTATGGAGATGATCTCTTAAGAGATCATCTCCATAATTTTCGTAATCTTTGTGTTATTAATGATGGAAAAAGTTAAATTACAAATCCATTGTCTCATTGAAGAGAATGAAAAAGATCTTAAAAAGCGGCAAAGTTAGTCAGCAGTGGGGATGCAACCATAATATATGCAAATAAGTTGGTTCTTGAGGGTGAACTATAATACTATTTTTCTATTAAAGAGTTTGTAGAAGCTAGGATGGATCCTGCAAGAAACTAAACGTTGCTCAGGCAGGGCCTTTTGACTGCCAGCAGAGTACGTATTACCCCTCGGACGGTCTTAAATCGATTAAAAAAAGCAGGTTTACATTGCTATAGGCCTATAAGACGCACTCCGTTGACCGCGAGAGTCAGGTTGAGGTCATAAAGCTCAACATTTGCTCTGGTGCAATGAAAGAGCTAACTGGAATGGTGAGTGGCATACTGCGATGTTCAGCGATGAAAACCGCTTTTGTCTTCGTACTGACAGATGTACAGTTCGTGTGTGGAGACTAAGAAATACAAGACTTAACGACCGATATGTTCAAGAAGGGCATCCCTTTGAAGTTAGAGGTGTAATGGTCTGGGGTGGAATTTTCTACGGAGGCGGAACGGAATTGTATGTCTGTGAAGGTACAATGACAGGTGAAATTTATGCTGACTACATCATTGGAGGATCACCGAGGGCATCTTATAGGCCTATAACAATGTAAACCTGTTTTTTTTAATCGATTTAAGACCGTCCGAGGGATAATACGTACCCTGCTAGCAGCCAAAATTGCCTGGCTGAGCAACGGTTAGTTTCTTGCAGGATCCATCCTAGCTCCTCTCATTAAGCTTTGGTCTTCCCTAGCATTTTTCGACCTTGGTCTACCCTCCCTATACCTCTCCATGACAGATCATAAAGATTTAAGTCTAGAAATTACACTTTAGGTGACGTTAAATCGATCAGTCACATCGATCTGTTGCGCACCGCCAAGAACCAACCCAATGACATGATTTGCTTCCTCTACTGTTAAATGACGTCTGTTCATATTATCCATGAAAGAATAACCACAATATCGCAAACTGCCGCTTAGCAACACGCAAATAAATTCTATTTTAAATAAAAATTAAATGTACCATTGCGATCAAAAAAAGTAGTAGAACAAAATATGATTTAATCTGCTGGTCTATAATAAAATAAAAAAAAACTTGCAAAATTGCCCATTTTTAAAAGGTATGTAAATTTTTTATACTTTTATTTCGCCACGTATACTTACCAATTATTACCAAATTCATGGTAACGCCTAAAAAGTTAAGTGGCATAATTGTATTGTTCGACGATATCCACTTCTCGATATCCTTATAGACCAGGAGTTCTATCTGGGACTACTAATTCTTGTACTCCTTTTTTTTTTGGTCGCAATGGCACATTTTTGATGATAATGCTTTTTATTTGTTTGGGTACAGATTTTTATGTTTACAAACAGTATTTTTTAAACATAAACGACATAGGTGTTAATAGCTATAACACATTTTTCCAGAAAAATTTTCTTCCTAGCGAAAACAAAATATCCTTAACTATTTTCGATTAGTTTATTTAACCCAGTTTCGTTTTTAGATCTTTTATGGGTTAAATGTTTTTAGTTTTCTGTAGACTGACTTTTAGGTGTTCCTACTTTTGGTATATGTTTATTCGTTATCTAAAAGTTTTAAAAAAGTTTTATTTATACACCATTTTAACCTAAATATGTTTTTGTCATACGCTCCCAAAAACAGCTATTTTACGGACTCATTTCAGTCCGTAAAATGTTTCTTTTTCGGCCTAGGCCGTAAAGGTCGTCATGGCAACCTTTATGGACTAAAATGTCTAAATTCGTTATTTGGTTGTTTTATTTTGTCATTCGAAATTTGTCACAAAATCACATAAAATTATACATATATTTAGGTAAAGCCAAACAAGGTCATATTTGTCTGTACTGTGGCAAGTGCTATTCCAGAAAATACGGACTGAAAATCCATATTCGGACACACACGGGTTACAAGCCGTTAAAATGTAAATTTTGCGATAGACCTTTTGGAGATCCCAGTAATTTGAATAAACATGTCAGATTGCATGCCGAAGGTTATACACCGTACAAGTAAGACAATATATAAAATTTAAATAATAACGTTTTTTAAAGGTCCACCATGTTCATGCCAACTTTTTACCTATTTCACAAATAGTACAATATATTTTTACTTTTTTATTAAACTCTACTTGATCTACAGAAGAGATAATAATAATAAATAATAATAACAGCTAATATTTTCTAATTTGTTTCAGTTTAATTTCGTCTTTTCTCCTATTGATATTCGGAATTTCTAGGTTTTACGAGATTAGTTTTGCATGTGTTCTAATTTTTTTAGTTTTCTTGAACATATACAGGATCCGATAATAGTGCGTCGGGCATTTGTAGCTTCTAGAATAAAAAAACTTGAGCATTTTGTTCAAGTGCAAACCTAAAGTATGTGCAAGGATGTATTTCAGGAAAATATTTTAAGTATTATAGGGTGGGGGGTCAATAAGGTGTGAGTGGATCGGGATTATTTTTTTTTAAATGGAACACACTGTATATTATTGCATTTTTGGCTTCCTTGCAGATCACCTTACATAACTCTAAGGTATAAGTAAATATATTTCCATAATTTTGGAGAAATTAATATAAATAAATAAAACATATATTTTTTTCAATCTTTCTTAAAAAATATATTACAAATACCTACAAGAATTTTCCTGAAATCAAAACAATATTAGGTATTTACTTTAGAAGCTCTATACTTAATTTGCTATAAATATCGTAATCTTAAATCATATAGGGTGTTCAAAATTCTACGCTAAACTTTCTAAAATATAAAATAATTAGTCTTTGTTTTTTTTTAAATGTTTTTTTAAATGTAACACCCTGTTTATTATTTTTTTATTAGATGGAGAATTGAAAAATAAACGTTTGTTGTATTTAAAGTATTTCAAAATTTTTAATGGTTTTGCACATATCTACTTCTGCCCACAATTTATTTACGTTATTGTACAGGGTGGTCGAAATTGGTCTGTTTTAATAGAGAAAACCTATTTCCTGAGTAGATAGAGCAAAACCCACATAGATGTCATGGGCTCGATTTCTGAGAAACGTTTAATGGCCTAAACCGCCTGTTGATATTTTCACTGTCAACCGAGATGCGGAGTCTTTTTGATTTTTTTACGATTTGGAAAATTGCCCATAACTTTTGTATTTCCCGGAATAATAAAATTCTGTAAAAACGTTCTTGGCACTTTTTTAAGCACAATCTAGTGGCGTAGTAATTTTTTTTCTATACTTGCTTTTTTAGTCAGAAATAATAAAAAATATAATTCTTTGAATGGAAATCATAGTTGGCTATGAACTTAAAACAATGCTGGCATTTAACCCTTTCCAACGATATAAAGTTATGTGTATTTGTTTCTAAAAATGTGAGAAATAATAAAATTAAAGACTTTTGAAAAGGTAAATCAACATTCTATATTAGTATTACCATTTACAATTAAAATCCAGGGTTACAACTGCACTATCAAATGGAGAATTTAGAGAGAATTGGATTGGAACAAAGGATCCCATATCTTGGCCTGTTAGGTCCTGTGATGTAACTCCTTTCAACTTTTTTTGGGGGAAATTAAAAGGCCTTATATATAAGGGAAGAACCATTGGAACGAGAGAATTACAGAAGGCTACTAGGCAAGCTTTTAGACTTATTACACCAGTTCGCCTAATAAATTGTTGTAACTCTGTGCGCAAAAGATGTTTATTGTTTATTCAACAAGGGGATGCTCAGTTTGAACATCTTTGATGATTTTTTTAGAAAACTATATTCGTCACTCAAAAAATACTTTTTTTTAGTTTTATTCTCTGTTTATTGTATCGATTTCAATTGTAATTACTAATACTAATATAGAATGTTAATTTACCTTTTCAAAAGTCTTTAATTATGCGGATAAAGAATAATATAGAATATTAAATTGTAATAAAAAATAATTAGGCAAATAGGCCAACACAAAATCAAGGCCCGCTTCGATATAAAGATCAAAAATGTAATATTTCTCTCATTCTTAGAAATAATGTCCATAACTTTAGATCATTGGAAAGGGTAAAACGCCAGCATTTTTTTAAGTTTATAGCCAACTATGATTTCCATTCAAAAAATTATATTTTTTGTTATTTCTGACAAAAAGAGCAAGCATGGAAAAAAACTGACTACGCCACTCGATTGTGCCTAAAAAAGTGCGCTAATAACGTTTTTACAGAATTTTATTATTCCGCAAAATAAAAAAGTTATGGGCAATTTTCAAAATGGCAAAAAATTCAAAAAGACCCCGTATCTCAGTTGGCAGTGAAAATATCAACAGGCGGTTTACGCCATTAAACGTTTCTCAGAAATCGAGCCCATGACATCTATGTCGGTTTTGCTCTATCTAGTCAGGAAATAGGTTTTCTCTGTTAAAACAGACCAATTTCAACCACCCTGTATATTGTTAATAATGTATTTTTTAGGCGTTCTGAATAATCGTAAATTCTTAAGTAAAATTTATAATTGAAACCTTAATTCAATTGAAAAACCTTCATTCAAAAATCTCGAAATTAGTGGAATAAATTAGTACTTTCAATTAGCGCAGAAGTTTGTTTCTCTAATTTCAACTTAATCATTCAGAACATCAAAATTAGTAATTAAAAGTTAGTAATTAGGGAGTATTGTTATTTTTGCCCTTAATTATCATCCGTCAAGAGAAATTGTTGTTAGAAATGAAAATTTTATTATTTTATAAGTTATTAGACTTTCTCTATATGGATATAACTGCGTACCGGAAGTTGTTGTTAAGATATTCTATTATTTATTATTAAGTTAATTGTATTTTTTAGACATAATGAATGATCGTAAACTCAAAAGTATAAAGTATAATTGAAACCTCTAATTTATTCCACTAATTTCGAAGTTCTGAATGAAGCTTAATTCTATAAGTTTTATACATCTGGATATTTTACAATTTCCTGTTGTTTCAGGTGTGAACTGTGTGGAAAAATCTTAGTAAGACGACGAGACCTGGAAAGACATCTGAAATCCAGACACATGATGGAAACGCATTTGGGCCAGGATATTTTACCATCAAATTCGCCAGCTGCCAGTAACGATGATTCCAATTCTGTAAATGAGGAAACCATCGAAATTCAGAAATCTTCTGAAGACGTCATAAATCTGACATCTAACATTAAAAAGGAGAATAATGCAGATGACCATTCTTTAACCAGCATTAAGTCGGTTGAAGACGATGACAACAAAAATGTTTAGAGTTATAAACAATTGAAGTTTCCTTTACACAATGTTATTATTAATAATAAAATTATTGACAATTCTCTTATCTCATGATCTAGTATTTTTAAAATAATGTAAATAAATATAATTCTTGTTAATCCTCATATTTGAATGCCTTAACTAAATATGTATATATGAATAATTAATTTGTATATAAATGCTGTAAAAAGATATATTTTTTATAAAATGTTATAGAGAAATTCGAAATTTATATTGTATTTACTTTGTGAATAAAGTTATTTAAATAGTTTTCTTACTTTAATCGATCAATATTTTACCGAAATTATAAACTATCCAACAATGTCATTATTTAGTAGTTTTAGTGCCTTGAAAATCAAGTATATGGGAAAACACCATATGATCGAAAAAAAAACGGCGTCAAAGAGGGCTGTGGAGTGACAATCGGTGACATAAAACAATTGACATAAAACTTGTCAAAAATTAACACTAATTATAGAAAGATCAAAAACGATGGAACGTTTATAGACACACAAATATATTCCAAAAAATTATTATTTCTCCAATTTTAAACCACATCATTTAAAAATCATTTTTAGTCAGTATAAAAATAAATTACAACCTTCAAGGCTTGATCTTGCCAAAATCATCATCGATAGTCTTTCCTCAGCCGCTTTTGACACCATTTTTTTTGATAATATGATAGTTTCATATATTGGGTGGTATGTATAAAGTTAAATAAATATACTTATAAGTTTTGTGAGCAACCGGCAAAGATAGTACTATAGTAAAAGCATTTGCCTCTTTTTATGCATATTCATAATTGTAATATTTTTATTTAAATTTACGAAGAATTTATTTGTTCATCATTCCCCAAAAATTAGCGCTAATACATTTGTATTTATGAAATAAAAAAATGATTGAGATAAATAAATTAAATTCACATAAATAAAGTTCGAATTATTAATTAAATAAATATATACATGAAAATATGTAAATAATTCATTCAACATACCTACTACTACACTTTTTTTATTCTCTTATTTTAAAATTTAAATTAACAAAAATATATCCGGAATCATTTTTTCTACTCTGATTTAATTTCTAGCACTTTTAAACAATAGTTAGCAGTATACAAAAACTATCTATTTACATAAAAGTGACATTTGGAGACATTATTGCGAGAAACGATAAATAAATATGTATGTGGTATAATTTTGGACTTCTGATTTATCTATTGTTGTTCAACTGAAGATCATACCACCTACGACTTTGTCCCAATGAACATTACATTACTGTCTTTTTCAATTATTGTCTTTATAGTATGAGTAACAAAAATTTTGTAACGTATATTTATAGTGACATTAAGGTATGTAGGCTCGAATAATAGTCCAGGAGGCAGTGAAGATTTTCGGTACTTATTTTTGCAATTACCAAACACCGATATAATTATTTGGTATCTAAGCAAATTTCACATATATTTGGGGGGGGGGGGATGATTTCGATGCGTTGGACCGGAAAATCTCTCACTAACAGAACCAAAGATAATAGAACTATTTTTATCGCTGAAAAAAAAAGTGCAGTATATTTTTGTACGTACTAATATACAGTATACAGTGTGGCGCACCTCATTCACCTCGGTTGATTATACAAGGATTATACGAAAACGGAAAGATATAGAAACAAAATATTTTATGGGTATATGTGGGGAGGCAATGTGCACAATTTAAAATTATTTTGAAATATACAGGGTGTTTCAGAACTAAGATCCATACCAAAGTTATATTTTTTCTTACGGAATACACACACGGTATTTTATTTCATTTTTGGATTCTTGGGCCCAAAAAAGGCAGTTATTATAAGGGTTAAATATGTTTAAAATCTTTAATATGTTAATATTTGATATTTAAACTTGCATGCTACTATAGAATAGATTATTAACACCCTGTACATTACTTTTCAGAATTAATTATTGTGCTGAAATTAAAGGCAGAGAAATAAACTTTACTGGAAAATGTTATTACTTCCTTAAATTTATACAGGGGTATCAAAAATTGCTGATCTATTTTAAGGATTTATTTTATATAAAAACTTCGTTATTTCAAATGCAACTGTATTTGTTAAAATAATCCGAAGCAGATGCAAATGCTCTTTCAAACTATATTAGGGTTTCCTGTACCTATCTAGCTGAGATTTTGAATAAAAAGCGATTTTTAAATAAAATTGCAATCAAGATGGCTGCTGTCGCCGTGGCAATTTTCTACTGACAGTTAGTAACTAATTTCAAAGTCGACATTAGTTTATGGACATTATTATTTATAATTTATAACAATTCAATTAGATTTACCTACAATAGTTTAATAAATAAGTATTCATTATTTTATCAAGAAAAATAAAGCAATATCTGCTGGCGGAACGAATGGATATGTTTCTAATGATTTTATTTTGTTAGGAAAATTACTTCTTAGCTTAAAGAGTTTACGCTCAAAGGTTTCCAAAAATAGGAATCTTCCTGATAAGCGTTCCTTTGAAAAACTACTTGGCCTATTTTGCAGAGCTGGTAATGTGATTTATAAAAAACCTGTTAGAGGCAGAAACCTGTCGTTGGAAGTGAAGAAAATGAATTTGCCGTAATTATCTCTTTTATAGAAAATCCATATAACTACAAGTCATCGTAAAGTAAATCAAAGTACTACATCTTCGTTTTTCTTGATAGAATAATAAATACATATTTAATAAATATTATTTATTAAACTATTGTAGGTAAATTAAGTAATAGTAAACTGGGTATAAATTTAAATCATTCCATAAACTAATTTCGATTTTGAAAATATCTACTAACTGTCAATAAAAAACCTGCCATGATGACACTAGCTCTTTTGGTTGTCATTTTATTGAAAAAATGCTCTTAATTCAAAATCTGAACTATATAGCCATAGGAAACCCTAATATAGTTTGAAAGAGCATTTGAATCTGCTTCGATTTATTATAAAAAATACAGGGTGTTGTATTTGAAATAACGAGGTTTTTATGTAAAATACATCCTTAAATTAACCCCTGTATAAATTTAAGGAAGTAATAACACTTTCCAGTAAATTTATTTCTTTACCTTTAAACTCAGCACAAGAATTAATTCTGAAAAGTAATATACAAGGTGTTAATAATCTATTCTACAGTAGCATGCAAATTTAAATATCTTTAAATATCTCAAAAACCAAAGATTTTAAACATATTTAACCCTTATAATAAATGCCTTTTTTTGGGTCCACAAATCCAAAGATGAAATAAAATACCCAGTGTTCCATAAGAAAAAATATAACTTTGGTATGGATCTTAGTTCTGAAACACCCTGTATATTTCAAAATAATTTTAAATTGTGCACATTGTCTCCCCATATATACCCATAAAATATTTTGTTTCTACATCTTCCCGTTTTCGTATAATCAACCGAGGCGAATGAGGTGCGCCACCCTGTATATTAAAGTACAAAAATATACTGCCTTTTTTTTCAGCGATAAAAATAGTTCTATTAGTGAGAGATATTGGTGCAGTTAAGAGGCTGGAAGGTGCAGTAGTCTGGCCAATCTGTGAGAATGGGTAATATGTCTGGCAGGTGAAAAATTGGATAATAATTATTGAAACCATTGCCCTTATTTTCGCAGTCCTAAAAATTTGTGAGATGATAGTTTATATTACAGATGATAAGTTTTATTTGCTAAATATTTGTTGTAGGTTGTAGGAAATTTAATTCTCTAAAAAAACCATCTCTTGATTTTATTTTGTATCTCCCTTAGTTTTTAAGTTATGTTATAGCAATAAAAAATCTGGTCAAAGTTATTTGTCCTAAACTTGGTTTGGATCTAGAGCGATTTTTAAAATTAAGAGTAATGTTTCTCGATTTTGCTATATTGAAAATCACGAAACTGCAGAGTGTGAAAAAAATTTTTGCATCTAAAAATACGAAATATACGACCTGACTTGTGAGTCTGGCCGGGCTTTCGTGATTGTAAATAATGCCAGATGTGTATTTTCAAATCCGGGAAAACAAGAGCAAATATTTTGTAATTTTTGCAATTTTGTCAAGTTGCTGCCAGACTCCAATTCGTAAATCAGCCTGATTTGCTTTTGTTTTTAGTTTATGGTAGTATCAAATAATACGTTAAAACTTCAAGCATGGCGAAATATGGGTTATGGACATGTTATGGATTTAAAAAATCTGTCAAATTTTTGTATCCGCAAATTTTCAGCCAGACTGACTTTTCTCCACTTGGAATGTGCGAGACTGTTATTTCCATTAATAAAATGATTCACTTTAATAAATGTCATATATTTATAACTGCAAAAATAAGCTGATTTTTTTTTTATTTTATTTAGTAAACTCATCCGAAAACTTGAGCCAGATTCACAAATTGTCACTTATATACCTACCTATTCACCCACTGAGAAAATAAGTACAAAATAAGTTCACTGCCTCCTGGACTAAAATACTAATACAATGTGTATAAGTACGAATTTTTTCCGACTACTACATAACATTTTAAAGAAAGAAAAAATGCTGATTTAATATAATATAGATATTGAAAAATATAAATTGTTGTCAGACAAAATAATCTAATAATTTCTTTTTTTCCATAGCAACTGTTAAAATTGCCTTATAGCTATCAAAAATAGTAGATAAAATAGTACTTTAATTGCAAGGGTAGATTAAAAAATGATATTTTAACAGCGAGGATAGGTTAAAAACTTTATTTCTTCTCGCACGTTTTTTAATTGTTTCCATTTTTGAAAATTTTCAGTATTCCTTTTCATAAGTTATTCGGAATTTAAATGGAAGTAGTTTGGATATGGCGTTTGTCGCCTCAGCCTCAATATCTGTTGGTAATTTACTTATTTCGTTTTGAGACATTTCTGGCTCCAATTCAATCAGCAATCGACACAAAAGAGAATTAAAAAATATTGACTCAAAACTGACAACTAAGACGACTGCTAAGAGATAGCTTTATGTAATTGTCAAATTACATAGAAACCAACGCCAACCCAGCATAATATTTTTTTTTCTACTCGTAATAAATTCCTTGAAATAATAATTTCTGTAAAAAATATTGTTTTATACACGACGATAAAAATTGCATTATCGTCTATCGAAATTAATTCACTCGCGATTTCATCGCTCGTGAGTTAATCTTTTCGGTCGACGATAAAATACCATTTTATCGTCTTGTAATGACTACTTTTAAAAGTTTTATTTGCATTAAATTACTTAAAATACTATTTATTTAAAGATTTTCTATTTAGAAAGTACCTACCACTAGTAAAAATCTATAAAGAAAAAGACTCAGGAAGTCTTGGTCTTGTATCTGATCATCGCTATTTTCTATACGCAGAGGTGCTAATAAACCCACCGTTTCCACTGACAAGATTCAGAAACTGGATTGATGGATGATCCATCAAATATCTTCTTTTACTTTCTCATATACAATACAATTGAATATAAAACAAACGATAGAATTAAATTTTGAAGGTTTTATATTCACAAAAATTGTACAGTCGGGAACCTTAACTACTTTACACTAAAAACAATCCTTAACATGAAATTATTCTTTAGCCCCTTCTTGCTGCTGCTGTTGTTCAACTTCAACAACATTTTCCTTCGAACTTTCGGCAGCTTCAACTTTGACAGCTCTTGCGTCGACAATTTCTGCGTTATCTTTTCCTACTTCAGCTACAGTTGCACTGGATACAGCCGGTACAGCTCCATCAATAATAGGAGCGTTTAGAACTGGTGTAGTGTAAGAGGTGATGATGGGTTGAGGACCAATGGAATATGCGTTAACGGCAAATAAACCGTTATCGTTTACACTATAAGAGTAGCTAAAAGCTGGTGAAGCTATGAAAGAGGCTGGTTGGATAAAACTGAACGCTGGTGCGGGTGCACCTTTTACTACAGCTGCGGGTGTGGGTACTGTGATAGATTTAGTAGCTTGTTCTACGGGAATGGCAGATTTTACTTCTAGTGCATTCACTTCGGTCGCCTTAAAGATATATTATTAAGTTTTGACTGTATTTAATATATTTTAGTTAATTTTGTACCTTGGCTGTCTCCTCAGCAACACGGAGAGCTTCCAAATGTCTGGCTCTGGCTTCTACCACTTCAGGAGTGTCATGTACGGGTTCAGGCTGAGCTAGTGGTATGAATTCTGGAGCTGAAGGGGCAATAGGCAGATTTGTAGCTGATACTCGGAATCCATTTGCGGCATCAGCTCTATAAAGATTCGCAATGTGTAATATAAAACATTTGTATTAAACAGGGTGAGTCTTAAATAGGTGCAAATATTTTTAGGGTGGTATATTTCAATCCCAGAAACAGTTATCTTTTCGCAGAAAAATGAAAATTTTGTATTTTTGGAAAAAAATATTAATTTTTTTTTAATTTGCAATTTAACATACAGATAGTAGATTAAATTTAGAAGAACGAAGACCCAGAAAAAATTCTGTGGTCTTTAGAATTGAATCAATTTTTTTTTTAATTTTCAAAGTAAAATAACTCGGTTATTCCCAATGACTATATTTCAGACTTATTTGAAAAACGGAAAGAAAATTAAAACATTTTTAACATGTTTATTTTATCGAGATCTACCAGCCATCAAAATATTTGCACTCATTTAAGACTAACCCTGTATATAAAATCAAAATAGCAGATATAGCTACTACTATTAAATATTACCTATTTAACAGTCTATTATACAGGGTTATACCCATATTTTGAAAAAGCTTCAGAAAAAGAAATTTGGCCATAAATATACCATAATCTATACTGAATATTTTTTGAGATATGAAAATTATTAGACTAAATTACTTTTATTTAATGCTCTTTCGAAGTTATAATCTAGTAACTTTTTTAATATATAAAGATAATCATATACCGGGTGTTGCTCAAAAGTGGCTCACTCTTATAACTATTTTATTTTCTCAGATAAAAAAATGATATTTGGTACGTTAGTATATAACATAAATCAGGATTGATTGACGTACTCAAATGTTTTTGGTCACTTCCTATTTCACCGGAAATGGCTACTTTTTATTTTTAAATGGCACAGTCGATATTTTTTTACTTTATTGGTAGAAAACGATACTCTGAATAGAGTGACATATTATATGTCAACTTCTGAGATTTTCGCATATATATGGTTTATTTCAAATTGTAACATGCGGTTCACAGTAGCGTAGCGTAGGCCCCGCTGCACCCGCAGCGGCGGGGGGGCCTCGTGATTTTGAGGACACCGCATTATTTGTTCCTTTTTTACATTTTATTTGTTCCTAGTTCCTATTAATTTATTTTAATTAATCATATTTTTATTAGAAAATTTCTATTTATGTTTATTTATTTTTATTATTTAGTTTTCTTTTAGTACCTAAGTTTTGTTTTATGTTGATTTATTTTGTAATGTTTTATTTTTTATGTTCCTTTATTATTATTTTTTCTTATGTGGAATAAGTTAAATTTTTGTTTTTATATATTAAATGACTTGATATACCTACATAAAGCTATATTATGTTTTTTAGTGTTTTTTTTATTTTAATATAAGGGCCCCTAAAAATCTTGCGGGGGCTCACATTTGAATTTACGCTACTGGCGGTTCATAACGACAATTTGACTCGAAATACCAAGTGTGTGGTGCCAAATTATTCGTAAAAAATTGCCTTTTCCAAATATGCTAATGAGCCACTCTCGCTCTATTTGAAAAAATTGAGATATGATTAAAAATACGATTTCGGCATCTTTTAACCGTCCAGTACAAGACACTAAAAACATACGATAAAATCTAATTTTCCAATGCTCCTTGATTAAAAATTATGTTTTGAACAAAGCCATGGCACTCTCTAGATTAAAATTTAAAATATGATGTCTTTTTAAGCAAAAAATGTCAAAAGTTGACATGTGATGTTTCATTCTATTCAGAGTGCCATTTTCTATCGAATAAAGTAAAAAAATATCGCGGGTACCGTTTAAAAATAAAAAGTTATCAATACACAAATATCGTTCTTTTATCTGAAAAAATAAAAAAGTTATAGGGGTGAGCCGCTTTTGAAAAACACCCGGTATATTTCAAAAATCACTCGGTATGCATGTTATGATATTGGAATGAAAATTTTACGACAAATCCACTGAGCGAAAATAATTGAAGCTTTCAATTAAATAACATAAACTTTAGTAAAAAGTTTAATTGGAATTACCCTATGAAGTATGTAGGAATTGCCCTATAATTTTTTTTCCAAACGTAACAAAAGTATTCGTTTTTGCGACGTGATTGACAATATAAAAAAGGCATTTTAGCGCCTAGGCATAAAAGTAAAGCACTTTTAGTACGAAGTAGTATAAGTATAAAAGTACGAAAATACCGTATGATTGTCAAAAAGAAACAGCGTCAGCGATGGCTATGAAATGAAGATCACTGTCATTTTATATGTAAAATTATATTGGACAACTGGAAGCTGTTTGGACGCCGTTTTTTTTTCGATCCTACGGTATATTATTAAACTGACACAAAGTGTCAAATTCCACGAGCGTAACCATAGTTTCTCGAATATAATTACTTACAAGGATTTATTTAAAACTTTTTATATTTTTTGGAACGTTTAAAATTGTTTAAAAATTTATTTGTGACTTTTGAAAAAAATAGTATGTTCTATTCCGAGCAAAAATTACTTTTTGTGCCTCACCTGTATTGCCGTTAAACGTACAACCTCGCCACAAGAAGTATAATTTTTACTCCTAATAAAACAATATACTATTTTGCCGGTATGTTACATTCCTTAAGGAAAAAATTTGAATCACATTTGAATAATATAAAATAGTAAACATGAGATATATATTTTTGGAAACACTTGCGGGTCACTCTGTACACTAATTCTAATTACCTGTATTGAACATTTTGTATCTGTCCATTTCCATCGATGTAAGAATAAGATCCTACGGTCTGACCATCGGCAGATTTGATTTCGTTTTTAGCTGAGAGGTCATTAGCATAACCGTACGAATACTGACCAATTGAGTCCTGGGAATGATACTGGCTAGAATGGCGAGCCAATGGAATGGCTGTTAGAAAAGCTGGAGCAGTTATGCGGGTAACTGCGGGTACAGCCACTGATGGAATAACTAAATAAAAAATGTATCTATATGTTACTGTAAATGTCCGAAATACGGTAAAACCTTAGTTAATGCTTTTGGTAAATCCTAGGTTTAGCGCGCTTATCCTAGGTTTTACCGCATTTCGGATATTTACAGTAACAAATATAAGACTGATACGTTACAAAAATCGATATCGTAAAACGATAATCGTTAAAATTTCAATGCCTAAGTAAACAAAAACAGAGATGTCTTTGTATATCGACATCCTTAATTTCTCGATATTGTTGCTATAAGAAAAATAATTCGTACTTTTACCAATGCGGTGTGGTAAATCCTAAGATTTACTGTTTGGGTCCGCCATCCAGTAAAAGTCCGAAATGGAAGCAAAATAAAGAAGTTTTCGAGCTTTTACCACTTGCTTTTGGTAAATCCTAGATTTAGCGCGCTTACCCTAGGTTTTACCGCATTTCGGACATTTTCAGTGACATATACAATCATTATATTATTATAATACATGGTTAGTCTTAAAAAAGTGCAAATATTTTTAGGGGTGGTATATTTCGACCCCAGGAACATTTCTATGAGTTTTTTTTCGCAAAAAAAGATGTTGAAAATCGTGCATTTTCTTTTAAATTGTCCTGTATGTTTTAGAAAACGTTTTAGAACTGTCTGTTGACCGCAAATTTTTCCAGGGTATAGTTTCTTAATATCTGATTAATATCATGGTTACGGCTTTACTATATGGTTACGACACTAAAAGTGATGCAAATACAAAAAAAGATCCGGTGGCTCTCAAAACTGTTTAAAAATAAACTCGGTTAATTTGGACTTATTTGAATAACGGTAAAGAGAAAATATGTTTCTTTTAGCGATATTTACCAGCCCTGAGAATATTTACACTTATTTAGGACTCACCCTGTATATTAAAATATAAAAAAATTAAATGGGAACAATTATATAATAAATTTGTGGTTTAAAATAATTGAATTTTATCGGAATAAATTATTAATGTTTGACAAACTATGGCAGAAATTATCATCGATTTTTTTTTCAAAGGTTCCCGTGACACCCTTTCTTCTCTATAGTATGAGATTCTCTAAAAATCTATAAAATGTAAATATTAAAACATTTTAGATAATTTAATACACTTAGTAAGATTCAGAAAAAAATTAAAAACATGTGAATTTGAAGAATATTAGTAACTCACCACCAGCTTTAGCAATGACGAAAAGTGCGGAAGCCAAAACGAAGAACTTCATGTTGAGTTTTGTTTTTTTTGGTTGCGCTGCTGAATGATAATTCAGTACTCGCCGAACTGCCTCAAGACATCTCGCCGGATGCTTTATATAGAAGACCGCGCCCGAAAAGAATAATTTTAATCCTGATCTGATCGAAAATAAACAATTAAAGAGCATCTAGTTTTTAATTTTGCGTTTGTGTCGTGTGCGGTAGTTGTTGTCTGATTGGTTCGGTTTATAGTATGGTGGCTAATGTCTTGCTGTTTTTATTATAGATTTATTATACATTTTTATATTATGTGTTTCTTTAATACACTCACCGGCACGAAAAATGGACACCTGGAAATTTAGATGTATTTTAAATTTTTATATATTGTGTTCTAGTGGACCGATTTTCATGATTTTTTAATCAATTTGTAGCCAAACACCCACCCTTTCAAAATTAAAAAACAAAGTTGCCACCTGTCAATTATATGATGGGGAAAAACAAAATTTTGATATTTTGATGAAAGTTTGAAACACCCTGTGGAGTATATTAAAAAATCAAGAAATTTAAAAATCACTTTATCATCTCGGTGTATCTTTTCTCGATAGTTTGGTTTTTGGTTCATCTCAATAGCTTCATTTTTTTTGGAGATATTCGCTTTTGGAGAAAGTAGCATTTTTTCGTATTTTTACATTTTAACCGTACCTTTGCTTTTGGTCCTAGCCAACAGACCTGTAAAATCGTGTTTATGATTTATCTAACGTCTGTCTTTAAAAATCATATTATTATTGTCTGTTCGGCAGTTACTTTAGCAGAGATGGTTTCAAGTCCAAAAGTTGATCTCTATCATGATCAATTAAAGCAGCAATAGCCGAAACTTCAGAACTTAAAACCATCTCTAGTAAAGTAAACATCAATAAACAATAATAATATGACTTTTCAGTAACAGTGCAAAAACAATAGACACTATTTTATAAGTGTGTTGATGAGGATTCAAAAGCAACAGCTTGCTTTCAGTGCTAAAATTGCTGTGATTCGTTGCTGTCTTATTTAAAAGCGAATATCTCCAATAAAAATAAAGCAATTGAGATGAATAAAACAACAAACTATCGACAAAAGACGTACCTAGATCATAAAATAATTTTTAAATTCCTTGGTTTGTTAATATATTCTACAGGGAGTTTAAAACTTTCACCAAAATATCAACGTTTTGTTTGCCCTCGTATAATTGACAGATGCGATGTTTCATTTTTAATTTAGAAAGAGATACTAAAAATCCAAATAATTTAGCTATCTATCGCTTAAAAATCATCAAACTCGGTATACTAGTTCAAAAACTATTGAACTTTAAAATACATCAAAAAGAATTTGAATTTTTTACCAAACCACAGCATAAATAATATAAAAAATATAACCTACAAACATCCTTCAAAACACAAAATACACGTTTAACCCACACTTAGTCAATGAACACTAAACAATTTCTAAACATCCTGTAAGAAAATCGATTCTATTGTTTAAAATCTAGTGCTGTAATTTTGGATCTATTTTGAAATATTTTGTTTTTTGAATCGTACAATTATTTCGTCTCTTGTACGAGCTGAAAGTTTTTAAATAAAACGCTGATTTTGAAGCTTACTCTTCAGATGAAAAATAAAATCAAATACTTCTATATTTCCACATCTCGTGGGAAGCACAGCTACAGTCTCGGTAGCATTGAATGAGTGTTATTCTTTTTCAGGAACAACGTACTATAACTCTGCATCTTTTAGTGGCAAAGTGGTACAAGATGGCTTAATAGCAGTAAGCAACTCATCGCAACTTTATTAGAATATTTTGAAGGGGAAAACTGTAGTAATGGCCGTTAAGTGGTGTTAAAAAGGTGAGTTTTGTTGATGTAAATAATAACTTGTTTATATATTTATAATTACTTTATTATTTGGTTTCCTAAAATATTTTGATTAAAAGAAAATATATAAAAGTAGGCAACGCTGTGCGGGTCAAGCCTAGTCACGTGACTAAAAGTGTATTTGGTATGAACTGTATATCCCCAATAAGTCTAATCATTATATTGAACATAACATGCTAATTTAAATTTCTTAGTTCGTAGACTACTTAGGTTTCCACTTACCAACGAAAGATATGAAATAGAAATTACATTAGGAATAATAGCACAGTGTAATGGTTATCATCTTTCATTTGTTGATAAAATAATTAGAAAACGTATGTACAAATTTGCGATTTCTGCAAACTTTTTAGATAAAAATACGCCATAAGTTTTGATTCAATAGATACCATTTGATAGTTAACCCGTGGTACTGCCCGTGGTTTATAAAAAGAATATTTAAGAATGTCAATTATAAACTTGTGTATAGGCTTGGTGCATTTCAATTCATTTTAAAAATACCAACCGCAGCGCCCGATACGGCAGAAATTAGAAATACATGTCGAAAGTATTTCACGCAGACACGTTAGCTTTCATGTCGATCGCATTAAAATAATATTAAAATCGTGACTTTTTCGTGTATCAAGTAGGAGTATTTGCTACAGACTCTGCGATAAAGCAGCGGAGAAGATATAGCCTACTTCGGGTTTTTCTTATTACCGATTCTAAACCTTACTAGACTGTGATATGCATGCGCAGAAGGGAATTTGAAGATTTTATTTCATTTGCGCAGAATTCTAGGACGGTTCAGAATCGGTAATAATAAGAACCCGAACAAAGCTAATATGTAACTGCAAGGCTAGATCGAAGGAACTATGCTCCCAGCCTATCAAGGACCTGCACAAGTTGGTGCAGTATATAGAGGGATAGGAGAATGGGTGCAGACATAGAAAGCAGATAAACATATAAGATAATAATCCTCACAAGTCGCAGTGTTTCCGACAGAGAACGGCCCCTTATTATTGGAAAAATCATAAAAATTTGTAGTATCTTTTGATATTTTTTATTATTTATACTAAAAGCTAAGTTTTATCTAAACATTCTCAAATAATTGCATAGTCCTTTAAAATATTCTAAAACAGAAGCAGATGAATTTCAAGACAATTGATCTAAAGCCGTAATTAAATTTGCCATCCCTAAAAGACTTTAAAGTATAAATAGAAAATTTACGTAAGTAGACAAAATCAATAAGGTAATTTCTTTTTCTGTACACCGAGCAGCAGACTATACCAAATCGATCCTTGCCGGCTTTGAACCAATCTACGTGACTTTTGCGTGTGTATTTTCGTACGGCCCGACGACGACAAGGACATGCATGGAACGAGTACATGTTTTCGGTTTAAGACCTTTTATAAATTTATATACTTTTCGGTCGTTTTAACTTAAATAAGGGCATAAATATTCGACCGGTATATAATTCCAGTATCGGAGAAAAATGCTAAAATAAATGACCTCAACGTCTTCTGTTTTGCTAAGGGAGTATGGAAGGTATTAATTAGCTTGAATTATTGTTTTGTATTTGTGGTCAATTACAAATTTCAAGAAAATAATTAAGTTCATAAAATTGTTATAGAGATATATATATTAGATATTTGAGGTGGCTATCGACCTGTTCCACTGCGACCTTTTCAGATCTACTGTTGTCCACTTCTGACCCCTATGTTACATTCTACAATCCTATCTTTTTCAAAATTCTAACAACTCTTTGTCAATGGTCTATCATTTTTCATTGTCTAATACATTCAGACGCAAAAAAACGCAACGGAGTAATTTTTGGTCAAATTAAAGTGTTATATTTTTGTCAGTTTTAGCCCTATTTTCATGAATCAACTTTAATTCGTAAACTACGTTTTTTATAAATTCTAGTATTTAGCATATTATACAGGATTAATCGTTTTTTTAACTTTTACTTTAAAACACCCTGTGTAATAATTTCGTGTGTAAATTTTCCTACTTTATAATTTTGCAGTCAGAACTATCACTCCTGAGCATTTTGTTTTTTGATTCATGTCAATACATGCCTTGGTTAATTTTTAACAACGAAATGATCACAATCAATTTGCCATTTTCCAATTATCAACTCTTTGATGTAATTTTTTAATATGACGAGATTGCTTTGGTGAATACAAGTCGTAACGTCATATTACGCTGCATTGGATACTCTATACTAAATTAAAAAAAACGTTAAAGGCTAACGATAACGATACATTCCTGGTTTTTATAAACATTTTTAACGATAACAGAACTAACGATATTAAAGAAAGCATCTGTAATATTCAAGTATACAAACAGAAAAAAAAAATGTAAAAAATACCCTAATACTTTGTATTGCCTCCCTTGGCTGCTATAAGTATGTTGGCTGCTATAAGCTGTATACGTCCGTTCATACTGTCATTGAGGTTACATATACCATATTGCGTTATGCTTTCCCATTCTTCTTTAAGAACCAAGCGAAATTCATTTAATGAAACTGGTACTCGCTTCGCGACCTCTAACCCTCCTGCAAAGCATTTCCTAAACGTCGAACATGATGGGCAGTTTACAGTAATATATAGTTCACAATAATAACCAAAGCCGCCAAAGTGTCATATTGAAAAATAACTTGAAAAAGAAATGATAATTATTGAAAAATTTGCAAATTGTTAATGGCAAGTTCATTTCGCTCTTAAAAATTAACCAAGGCATGTATTGACGTGATCCAAAAAACAAAATGCTCAGGAGACATGGTATTGACTGTAAAATTATATTTTAGGGAAATTTACACACGCAATTATTGCATAAGGTGTAATAAAGAAAAGTTAAAGTTAGGGTAAATAAACAACCCCTCGATTTTTTAACCTAATATGCCAAATCCTAAATTTTATATAAAACTGAGTTTACGAATTACAGGTTGATATAATTATATACAGCTTGCTAAAAAAAATCATGAAAATAGGGCTAAAAATAACAAAAATATAACGCTTTAAATTTAACCAAAAATTTCTCCGTTGCGTTGTTTTTTTGCATCTGAGTGTACAAAGAACTCCACATTTGCCAGGCTGTCGCACTGCGATAGAATGTGTTCTGTCGTTTCTTCTTCAGATTGACAAAATCTGCACAATGCACATGGCTTTGTCAATCAATTCCATCAGCTTTAGATACCTATTATGCTTACTATGTCCTGTTAATTAGATGCAGGAATCAA